CCTCCCTCCCTCCCTCCCTCCCTCCCTCCCTTCCTTCCTTCCTGCTTGCTTACTTTCTGAGATGGGGTTTCACTGTATAGTTCTGGCTGACCTGGAACCCTCCATGTAGACTAGGCTGGCCTCGGACTCAGAGATCCACCTACCTGCCTCAGGTGGATCCACTCTGATCCAAATGCTGGGATCATGCCCAGCCTATGGCCATTTCTTTACCAGCCTGGAAGCACTTGAGAATTTTCTTAGCCACACCTATGAATACTGATGCCCACTCTGCCCATAGCAGCCACCTCTACCGTCATGCCAAGCCTCCCCCTACCACCTACCCTGTCCCGTGTGTGTGTCCTCAGGCTCTGCTGTCTCCCCCTACACAATCCTCCTGTGGTAGCTCATGGCCGGCCCATCAAGCCTGCCTTTGCAGAGAGCTTGCAGTCACTGAACTAGGACTTACAGAGCATCCTCACCCAGCTCTCCTCTCCATTTGCCTCCTTGGCCAGGAGCTGCATCTAAAGCCAGTCTTGGCAGCTGTAAACTGAGCTCATGGCCATGCTTTCCACACTGTCGGGTGACGGTGTGTGACAAAGCATCCCATGCATATGGAGGTACTTCACAAGCCATCTCTCAGCTGCCACTGCTTTATTCTGTATGAAAACTCCGGAGAAGGAACACAGACATGTGTCATCTTCTCTTCCATCTTGGGACAGCTTTGCTTTTACACCCATCTAAGGGACAGAAGAGTCCTCAGCCTAGGACAGGCATGCCCCTGCTCCTCCTACCTTCAGGATAGAGGCCAAGGTGATGGGAGAAGAATGTGCCCAAAAGAGCAACCTAAGGACCAGTATGGTTCAGAGCCCTTGCAGCACCTCATCCCATGGAGAGCTTCCTAAGAGACAAGGAGCGTCCCCAGAGGCAGGAAAAGCAGGCACGTGATAGAGGAGGAAAGGGATTCTGTCCTCCCCAGTTGCCTCCAGCACCAGCTCTGCAGCTTGGTGCCACCACATCCTGGCACCACTGTGCTCCCTTCCTGTAAGAATACTCCTAAGGTGGTCACTAGCCTTCTGGTTCTTTCTGGGTGGGAAAGGAAGTGTAAACACCTGTGCCTCAGAGGGGTGTTAGAAGTAAAGACACCATTGGTAAAGCCATTAGTACAGTGTCCAGCATACAGCAAGTGCTCAATAAATGAGAGCTCATAGTAATGGAAGTTCCTCCCCAGGCCACTCTGCAGAAGCTGAAGGCTGAGGAGTATGTTCAACAGAAGAGGGAGCTCCTGGCCATCTATCGCGACCAGGGCAGGGGGTCCCCCAGCACTAGACCCTCCACTCCTTCCCCAGAGGACTCTCAGAGCAGTGCCGAGGGGAGGTAAGACTCAAGGGCGCCCTCAAAGGAGAGGGCCACAGGTGGGGAGGAGGGAGGGGAAATTTAACAGGCCCGAGATGAGTCAGTACAACCTTGGGGGCCCTAGTGTGGGTACAGGAACACCAGCAGCAGCAGCTCGGAGTGGAACAGGTGGGTAGCAATCATGTGAAGGGATGCGTGGGACAGGGTGGGCACAGGGCAAAGGAAGCAGAAACATGGCGTGTGAGCTCCCTGTGAAGAGCAGGCTCTAGAGTGAAGGTGGATATGGATTCTCAGACTATCAGCACTTCCAGGACACAGCAAGTTCAAATCCCCAGAGCGTAAGAGGTTCATTCAGGATGATACAGCTGCTTAGCAACATGCTTTCAGAGAAAAGGAACCCCCCCGCCTCACTGGACCCAGTCAGCAAATATGAGACCAGTTGCTTGATGTGAGGTCTGAACCAGGTGCTGTGGATAGAATAGCTCAGAGGCAGCCCTAGCTCTTGTTGTTTTTGTTTTTAAGACATATAGCTCGGGCTGACCTCGAATTCATGACATTCCCCCTGAGCAACCACACCCAACTTAGCTCAAAGTCTTGACTTTTTCTTTTTAAAATATGCAACACTTCGTAAATTGCGTGATCTTGCACAGGGACTGTAATCTTCTGTGTGTAATACCAATTTCAGTGTATGTGCCGTGTAAAAGAAGTGGGTATCCAAGGTCTTTTATAGAGCACAATTCTAGCCAGGGCGGTGGCGAAAACAATCAGTGTCATGTGAAGAGACAGGACAGTAAGTTTGGAGGAGGAGACATTTCTGAGTGGAGTAATGGGGGAGACTTCCTGGGCTTGAATTTGATCCTCATTATCTTGGTCTGACTTTCTGCTATTAACCACAGGACTTTGGAGCTCAGCATCGTCCCCCGCCTAGTGGTGACTGAAGACACGGATGAAGATGCTCCCCCTATGCCCGATGACACCTCGGACTCTGGCTATGGCACCTTGATTACAAGCTCCCCCAAGAACTCTCACTCCCCGCTGAACAGGCTTCGGTCCAAAGCTCTTCGTAGGGACCCTCGTCTTACCTTCTCCACCCTGGAACTCCGAGATGTTCCTTTGCGGCCCCAGCCTCCTGACCCCCAAGCTCCCCAGCGACGAAGTGCCCCAGAATTTCCGGATGGGATCCTGAGAGGAGGCAGTCTACCCAGGAGAGGCCCCCCAGCCTGGTGCGAGGAGGAAGATGAGACTTTGACCACACGGGATGTGGTGGTAGAAACCCTACACAGGGCACAACGGCGCAGCCCGCTCCCCCACTCTCCCACCCATACTGACTCTGCTGAGGAAAGCCCCTGGGAGTCCTCAGATGAAGAAGAGGGACCTCTCTCCCCTGGACTCCGCCCCGGCCCGCTGCGGGCCGAGGATATGCTCAGGGAGATAAGGGAGGAGCTGGCCACCCAGAGGATCGAGGGAGCCTCGGAACCTGGGGATGGCAAGCCTCGGCAGCTCACTCGAGCCCAGTTGCAGAGAATGAGAGGGAGCCACGTCATACACCTGGACACCCCCCTGTCCACATCGTAAGTGCAGGAGGGGTACTACCATGGGACAAGAGGGCAGTATGACGTGAGGGGCCATTCTAAGGAAGGCGGCGAGGGCGGGGACCGACAAGAGGGAGGGCACTCAGCTGTAACTGTCCCCCCACTCCTGTTGCTGGACCTTGACCTAATGGAGCTGTCTCCTTCCTTTACAGAGAAGTGTGAGGAGTGGCGGAGCCCTTGGGCACATCTCCTAGAGGAACTGTACCCCCAAGAGTGCTGGTCACCACCCTCCCCCTGGACTCTACCTCAAGGACCCACTTCAAACCATGCCTGACCCAGGCACCCGCCTCCTGCTCTGAGAACTGTACATTTGTGTCTCACAGACTCATCCCTGAGCCCTACATAAAAGTGCCCAGGAAACGTGGCTGTTTGGTCAACCATGCTTGGTCAACATGGCGGAGGGGGGAAGACAGGAGGGCACCCGTGGGTCGTGTTGCAGTCTGTGAGCTAGCAGCATGGCTGGACTTCCCATGCCACTTTCCAGGTTCTGGGCTCTGCCCAGCCTCTCCTATCCACAGACCACTCTTTCCAGGGTCGGAGGTCATTATTAGACTTTTAGTGTATTTACAAGCGTCCACGGCTCCAACTGGAGACCCCATTGTTCTGTGCTTGCCCCTACCTTAGACAGTTCAGCTCTGTTCGTCCAGGCAGGGAGCAAAGGGAGGCCGAGTTTCCATTAGTGTGAGATAATTGATAAAAAAAAAATTATTGCTTACCTACTGTGAGAAAGGCCCAGGGACCAACCAGGGAGGCCCCAAGAAGCCTTGCTTGGGCCCTGTGCATCCCAAGTGGGAATGAGATATAGCGTCCCTTTCCTCTACAATCACATGTTCTGACGTTTGGCACCCCCAGCCTGCAGGGAGCAGACAGATGGCACATATGCTGCCATGAACAAGTGGCTGACTCGGGGGCAGTCCTCGCTAACTGAGAAAAGCTATGTACACCAACTGGGTAGCACCAAGGAAGCGGCTGCCAGCTCAAGCCTGCCCCTTCAAGGCCCTTCCCTCCTTTTCATCCAAGGAAGAGGCCCACAGGGCAGCAGCGGGGCATCTTGCCAGGACTGTCCTTTACGTCCCTCCCTTGAGGCGGGGGTGGGGCCTCATCGCAGGAGGCGGGGCGCGGACGAGGAGGCGGGGCTTCCCAGCGCCTCTAGGATGTTCTCGGCGCAGCCAGCCAGGTCCATGTCGTCGCGAAGCACGCTGACCAGTACGTCCAGCGTGGCCTCGTGGCGTGGCGTGCGCTGCAGCCAGGCTTCCAGCATGCTGTACTGAGTCTCGCGCCGGAAGCGCCCGTTCTGCAGCTCCAGCCGCTCGATCTCGTGATCTCTCAGCCCCAGGAACCGCATGAACTCCTTCCAGCGCGACGGAGGCACCTCGTCCACCACCGTGTAAAGCGTCACGGGGTCTGCAGCTGGGGACAAGGACCGTGCGCTTCCAGCGGCAGCCCTGCCGTCTCGGCCTCCGCCCTGCCGGACTCCTTCCAGGAGTGATGCCCCCGCCGCCGCCGGGAACCCAAACTCACTGTCTGGTCGCTGCGGGTGGGCGCAGTCTTTCCCCTTCTGAACAGGGGTGGGGACTGGCCCGGAGCGGGCAGATGGGTAGAGGAGAGGGTCAGCACCCTGGTTTGAGACCACCTCCCTTGTCCCTTCAGGTGACAAGTCCCTGAAGTTCAGCCAGTTACTAGGGTCGTAGGTGGGGCTGGAGGCGATGGGGGTATTGGAAACCGGCTGAAGCCGGGGGTGGGGCTGAAGCCGGGGGTGGGGCTGAAGCCGGGGGTGGGGCTGAAGCCGGGGGTGGGGCTGAAGGCTGGGGCAGGGGCTAGAGTGAGAGGCCTAGTAACAATTCCTTGGACCTCCGTCTGAAAGAGAGAAGGCATCGCATTAGTGGGGGAAGAAAAAGAACCCCTTCCGGCTCTTTATTCTTTGTGGGGGTGGGGGAACTAAGGGAGCCCACCACCCCCAGTCCAAGTAATTTGGGTATCAGGAATTGGGAAGGAATAGTCAGGAAGTTGAAATACTTTTCCCTCTCACCTCTTTGACAGGCGCCGAATCCCCACAAACTGAGAAAAAAAGAAAGAAAGCATCATGAATTTCACTTCCCTTTCAACCCCGGCGCGCTGGCCTTGGGGACTTGTGGTGTCATGCCTCAGGGTCGATGTGGCCCCAGGGACAAGAGAATTACTGATATAGTATGGCGTCCCTCCCTCCATCCAGGACCGTTAGCTTTGAGCAAAGGGGCCACGCCTCGTGTCTGCGCCCCTTGCCTGCACGCCCCGCTCGCTCCCGCAGCTCCACCCACACCTTTACCCGCACAGCCCACACTCACTGATGGAGTAGACCTTGGGCTTCCAGCGGGGATAGCGGCAGAGTAAACTGATGAAGATGAAGGATAAAAGGCAAAGCCCAAGGAAGATGACCAGGGGCAGCAGCACTGCGGTACCTGCAGACAAAGTGGAAGATGCTCAGGGAGAGGCAGCGGCAGAGACTGGGGAGGGGAGGGGGAGGAGCTAGGGGGCCAGCCCGCCAGCCCGTGAGCATGCGCACCAGGCCATTCCGCCTCACCTGAGTCCTGGGTGTTGGAGTCAGGTTTAAGTGAAGATAGGGGGCACAGCTTCAAACACTCGTGATTTTTCTTGCATCTGAGCGAAGAGACAATACTGGTGAGCAGAAAGGCTGCCGGAGCTCTTGGCCCTGAGATTGCTTTTGCTATCTCTTAGTACAGTGGGACTTAACCTGCCTTGGGAACTGATGCGGAAGAATGGACGAGCTCCTCATACAACCATTTCATTTTCCAAGTTAAAGGAGTGCTAGGGTATGCATGTAGCCCCAGCACTTGGGCGGTAGGGGCAAGAAGGACGGTTCAAGGTCACTCTTAGCTACATTGCAAGGTCAGGGTCAGCCTGGGCAACAGGAGACCCCGTCAAGAACGAGAATCGAGAGAGGACAGCGGGGTTGGGGAGAGAACCGGCAATAGGCTGTGTTGATAAGTTTAAAGTAGTCAGTCCTGCATGGCAGCTCACAACCATCTGTAACTCGAGTTCCAGTGGATCTGATGCCCTCTTCTGGCCTCTGAGGGTACCAGGCGTTCACATGGTGCACAGACATACGTGCTGGCAAGACACTCATAGACATAAAATGAAAATAAATAATATTTTTACAAAGTATTTTTAAGTGCCAGGCATGGTGGCACATTCCAGCACTCAGGAGGCTAAGGCAGGCAGATCTCTGTGAGTTCAAGGCCAGCCTGGTCTACATAGTGAGTCTTAGGACAGCCAGAGCTGCCCAGTGAAACCCTGAATCAAAAACAAAACAAAAGAACTTTGTAAATAATAAAATAAAATGGTTGATAGGGCTGAGGTTATTGTGTCTCCATTGTAGAGCACTTGAATATCATTCAAGAGCCTGGATTCCACAACCAATCAATATTTTTAAAATACAAAAAAAAAAAAAAAAAAAAAAAAGCCAGGCAGTGATGGCACATGCCTTTAATTCCAGCACTCAGGAGGCAGAGCCAACCAGGGCTACAGAGTTCAAGGCCAGCCTGGGCTACAGGGTGAGATCCACAGGACAGGCACCAAAACACCACAGAGAAACCCTGTCTCGAAAATAAGTAAATAAATAAATAAATTTTAAGAGGCAGTTATGGTCAGAATATAAAATCCATTCCAGTCATCGACTAGTACCACGGCACAAACAAGCGGTTTCACTTTCACAGCCAGTGTCTCAAGAGATGGTGCCACCTCTTAGCTCTTGGGACTAAGGGTCAAGTACTGATCCCTGGCATGGTGTGGGCTTGATAGGTGGCATCTGTCAGTGAACTCTCATTGTGTTTGCTGGTGAAATTGTAGCACAGAGAGGCCTCCGTTTTGGATCTGGAACATCCCGCCAGGTCCATGTGTTGAAGGCTCCGTCTCCAGCGTATTGGGACGTGGGGCCTAGTAAAAGTCAGGTCGCTGGGGTCTTGCCTCTGACCCCACCCCACATCCTCCTGCCTCTCAGTTGCTACGAGATGAGCAGCTTTGCTCCACAGTGTGCTCATCACGATGCTCTGCCTCAGCCCAGGCTCAAGAGCCACAATGCCGAACACGGTTTGTGAGCTGAATGAATGAAGCCGTGATAAAATAGACCTTCCTGAGCTCTAAGCTGATTAAGCCACAGGCCCAGAAAGATGACTCATACAAGAAGCTGAAGGTCTTATCTCTGATGACACCACAGCTTACAGCGCTTGACTTTGGAGATGACAGGTCACACAGGCATGGGTGGGTTTAGAACGTCTGTCTCTGGGGCAGCCCGAGAGCCCTCCACTGAGAGCTGTCACGGGGAGGAGGGGGGGAGTGTGAGAAAACCACACTGGGGAACGGAGCAGAGGAATGTGAGATTGTGAGTTCTCAGCAGAAATCTGAAGATAGGGAAAGGCTTTTTTGTCTACCTCACGAGGTCAGGGTGAAAACACATGGGATTGGGTATACGAGCTCTTTTGAGATGAAACTGAGTGGAAAAAAATAGAAAGTAAATAGCTTTGGCTCAGACAGTTTCATAGGTTGCTGGTCTAGCTTTTTGTTTTGGGGTTTTTTGATCCTGGGATCCAACTCAGAGCCTCAAATATGCTAGGCCAGTTCTCTACCACTGAACCACACTTCCACCCACCCCACCTCCTTACTCTAAAGGTTAAGAAACGTAAGGTGTGGAGATGTACTAACTTGCCAAGGTTGCACAGCCAGGAAATGGGTGGGCTGGGACTTAACCCCAGCTCAGTTCAACTATGAGAGTCTCAGAGTTACTTCTCTGGAAGCAAAGGTGTAAGAACAGTGGAGTCATAGGAATGAGGAAGTCTGCCAAGGAGACTGGGAAGGAATCACCACAGGGGTGTGCCCTATGCAAACCCAAGGTGTCGTCAATAGTAAGACACACCAAATAGTGCAGGAAAGAGCATGGTGGTGCTCACGTCCAACTGCGCAGCACCGGCGAGGCGTGCACGCTAGGGCGCATGTGTGGCGTCAGAGGGCGCGACTCTGGAACTGATGTGCTCTCCTTTCGCAGGGGTTCCAGGGATTGAACTCAGGCTGTCAGACTTTGGCTGCAAGTGCTTCACCCGCGAAGCCACCTTGCCTACCCCCTAACGTACTGGAGAAAGAGAAAGGACTATCTGATGTCTTGATGTAGTTAGTGCCTTTCTCTCATCCAGTTGTAGGATGCCTCCTTTAATCCAGCTACAGCTGCTCATCCATCCCAGCTCCCCACCTGCTTGGCAGATAGATACTCACTGACTGCAAGGGACACATTGATTTCCATGTCGGTAGAATCCTAAGTGGCAGCTACACACGGTGTCCTGCTTCTCCTTACCTGAGAAAAGGGAGAAGGACTGAGGAGGTGTGCCTGCAATCCGGGCACCAGAGGGAGGAAGAAGGGCAGGGTGAAGGCACACATAGGAGCTCAGACCCACAGACCAGAGAACGAGGAAAAGATGCTGCCTCATGGGGAGGGGGGACAGAAGTGGAAACCTCTGCCTGAAAGGCAGGATACTCCTGAGGAGGGAGGGAGAGGGTCTGGACTTGGGTGAGTGGTACTCACAGGGGATAGTCACGGTGCCGTTGAAGCAGGAGCTGCAGTTATTGCACTGGAAGAGTTTTTCACCCAAGTAGTACTGGAATTGGTTCTTCCTACAGCCACACACCGTGTCCTTGTCTGCTCTGCAAGGAGAAATCTCCACCTGGAACATTTCTGCAGAGGAAAGGAAATGGTCAGGAGTCTCTCATCCCTTTTCCCACACAGATCCTGACTCCCCCTCTTCACCATGTGTGCCTCGATCTTCTCTGTAACATAAACACGCCTGTGCACACAGACCCTGGCTGGCATGTGCACGCACATGCCTCGATCTCTGTAACATAAAACACGCCTGTGCACACAGACCCTGGCTGGCGTGTGCACGCATGTGCCTCGATCTCTGTAACATAAACACTCCTCCTGTGCACACAGACCCTGGCTGGCGTGCGCACGCATGCTCCCACCATATCCACGAGCAGATTCAACTCCTAACCCCTTGCAAACATCCATGTGCACACAAGCGTGTTCCCAAGCCTTCTCAGACGTGCTCCCTCTTGAGCCCTTGCCCACTCCCAAGGCTTGCCTTCCCGACATGTCTTGCAGCTGAGGCACTGTCTGATGTGGTTCTCGGAAGCAGTAAAGGTGCCATTGTCACACTTCTTGCAGACCGGTTCTTTCCCTGACTCTGGACAGTCACTCACCAAGTAGGTTCCTGTGAGTGGGGTCAGGATTAGGCTGCAGTGGAGAGCTGAGGGACAAAACCCAAGCCCAGGGGAGGCAGCCAAGGAAGGGACTCCCAGCGACCGAGGTTCCGGAACGTGAGAAGGAAGCAGAGGAAGACTGCTCCCACCCCCTTACCTTTGTGGCACTTGTAACAACAGATGGAATTGTTCAGAGGGTGGGCATACTTTCCATGGGGACACGAACTGTCCCTCTTCTCCCTCTCCCCAAGGGAAGGGACCAGTCCAGTGACCCCTGAGGGGTATATCCCCACCAGCAGAGCCAGGAGCACCTGGGAGAAGAATCAGAAGGTGGAAATGCCGTCAGGGTGGGGCCATAGAGGCAGCAGATTGACGGCCCTCCCCGCACAGTTCCCATCCCCCCTGAGGAACATTCTCCTTCAAACTGTGTCCACTGTGCAGTCCAGGATTTTCGTTTGTTTCCAGAACCCTGGGCAACTAGGTCTCAGCCCCCTCCTCACTGACTGTATTTTACTCCGGTCAGCTCTCTGAAGCAGCTCCCAATGCTAATCACAGGCAAGCTGTCAGGGAAATGTTTAGCTGTTGGTATTGTTTGCAGGGCGAGAGGTGGAACTCGGGGTCTCACACAGAACCTCAGAGATAACCCCTGCCCCACCAGGGAATATCTTCACCCAGAGCTAGCAGGCCGCTTCAGCTGTAGCCTGTCTGTCTTCCAGCAGACAGTCCTAAAGGTCATTTGGCATTTCTATATCTGGGTGCGGGTGTCACGGTGTGCCCATCTGTGGACGCTTCAGAGGTGAGCCATCAGGATTTGCAACCCTTTCTGGATTTCATTGCACTAACACAAAGTGCTGTGGGGGTGGGGGGAACCAAGTTGTCGGGAGGGCTGCCCTGGAGATGCTTCAGGAAAGTGCCTGCTGTGCAAGCAGGAGGAGCTGAGATCAAGCCCCGTCACCCACACAAAGCCAGGCACAGTCGAATGGGCTTGTAACCCCAGTGATGGAGAGGACGCAAGCAGAGCCCCTTAACTCTCTGGGCAGTCTAGCCTAGCTGAGTCAGTGAGCCCCGGTCCCAGTGAGAGAGCCTGTCTCAAAACACAAGGTGAATGGTATCTGAGGAAAACACCTGAAGTTGACCTCTGACCTTCATGCACACAGACACACCGGGATGTGAACCCACACCTGTAGGCACACATACACAAAATCAGACGGGGACACAGGTGGATGATGTTCTTGCAAGCACCATTCCTGGGAGTGGGCGGGAACAAAAGGAAGGGCTCGGTGCATGATCACGGGCATGCATGTGTGGGCATGTCCCTGGGGGAGGGGGAGGGAGCGGGGAGAGGGGCGGCAGCTGCGGATGAAGCCAAGAACCTCACACATGCCCTGAGCCACACACTCAGTCACGAATTCTAGATATTTGTTTCAAATCTTGCTCAGCAGCCTGCCCTGGCAGCCCATGCCTCCCACAGCTAAACTTACACTGCAGCTCGGGCTGGCAAGGACACATGGAGAGGGAAGGCAGGCGAGAAGGTGTAGGGATGAGCAAAGACAAGTGGGTCGTGGACTAGAGTCGGCCAGAGGCTAGTCATCTGACTCGAGAAGACCAGCTAACCAGGAGCTGGGGATCTGCCAGGAGTTCCAAAGCCCGTGGGCAAGCAGGGCGTTCTAGACGGCGGGTTTAATAACCGTGGCAAAGCTCCCCGCAGCTAAAGTTTCCCTGTACGTAAAGAACTTCAGCGTGGAGACAGCAAAGCCAGAAAGAAGTCATCTCAGCTTCAGTTCAGACCTTGCTCTTTGATCTCTCCCAACTTGGGTTCCCCTCAGCCTTCATGCTTTCTTCCTTCCCACCCCACCCCCTGCTACGAGCCACTTCATGCAAAGGGAGAGGATGTCATCCAGACGTGTCGCAGACGCAGGAGCAAAGGACCAATCGGATCACATTCAGGACAGGAGCGCTGGCCACCCGTAACTGTCTAGACTCACAGCTGTCTTCAAGGCCCTGCAGCCTCCACGGCTCTTTTGGAAGGAGGTGCAACCTGGCAGCTGCTGTTACTCCAAGTGCTACTGCAGCAGCTGCAGCTGCAGCTGCACGGGTCAGGAAGCCTGGGCCTCAGCCAGAGATTGACCCAAGAAGCCACACACAGCACATCAGGCAATCTCTCAGGCAGGGGTGCACCCCCACACAGAGTGCAGAGGCTTCCAGAGTGACAGGAAGGATTAGTTAGGATAAGAACTTCCCAATCATGAAAGTGTGGTTCCTTTCCCCGAAGAAGAAATGTTTGGAGCACCTAAGGTCAATGGCACCTCCAGTCCCAGCAGAGGACTCGAAGCAAAGCCAACAGGCCAAGGTAGTGTCAGGAAGAGGTAGAGGTGGGTTCAGGCCAAGAACAGCCTTGGAGGGACATCTCCGCCAGTGAGGACCGGTGAGCCTCCAGAGAAGGAGCCCGGCTTCTCTGGTCATGTGTCCCTCCCTCCCTTTCCAGAACTCTGGGGGTTAAGACAAATCCGGGAAAGGGATATCTGTTCCCAGCAGCTCCGCCCCAGTGACTCAGGCCAGGGAGGGAGGGGGACCCAGGACAGTGGACAGGGAACTGCAGCTTCCCCAGCTCTTCAAGGGCTGTGAGTCAGCAGAAAGAAAAGCCCAGCTGGCAAGAAGAACCCCCCCCCCTTCACGGTGAGCAGTCTGGTCCCCACCCCCACTCAGGGCTCCTTATCCTTTTTCCCTTAAAAAGAGCCAGGGGACGGACCCCTGTCCCACTGGGCCCACAGATTTCGGGGAAATGCTTCCTTTTTTCCATTTCATCCCAAAGGGAAGTCTTCCTGACCCCTGGCTTCCCCCACCAGGTCAGTAGGCTCCTCCCAGAGGACGGGCCCTCTCCTCCCCTTCCCTCCCCTCCCCTGACATCCTTCCTTTAGATTGGGACCTGCCCTGATCGCTAGTCAAAAATTAAACAAGTCTTCAGTAGATAAACCCTGTCCCAGGATCCCTGCTCCCTGGCTCCCCGGGCTTTCCTGCCAGCCCCCTGACACTCCCCAGTCAGTGCCAGCAAGAAACAAAACCAGGCCGCCCTCCGACCCCCCTCGTCCACCAGGGTCCCACAGCCTGCCTGCTTCTGGCCAGTTGCATTGGGTTTGGGGGCTCCGGAGACCATCCTGAAGAAACAGGGCCAGCTCTAAGGCTTCATAACCTAGAAGGCCTCTTACGGCCAGAAGAGATGGAGAGAGTCTGGCCTTAATCCCAGCACTGAGAGGCCAGCCTGGTCTACAGAGCAACAGAGTTCCAGGACAGCCAGGGCTGCACAGAGAAACCCCCGTCTCAAAGAACAAAAACAAACAAACAAGAGAGACGGAAGGGCGCAGGACCAATACTGTGTCCCACATGCTCCAGGGAATCCAGGGCCCTGGTTCTCTGAGTAGACACCACATGTAAGCACCCAGCAGCCCTCCTCGCGGTTGCATTGTGAGGCAAACCTCAGTGTCGGGGAGCCAAGTCCAAAGTCCTGACCTAAACCCGAAGGCCTTTGCCCGGAGCAGAGAAGGGGCAGGAAGCTGAGGGTGCCTGTAGAAAAAAGGATGCTTGAGACAGTGGTACAGTGTCTCTCTAACTACTCCTCAGCTTCCGCCTGGGAGGCTTTAAGGTGTGACTTCCTGTGCTGGGGCTGCACATAGGGCAGAAAAGCCGAGGTGGACCCTGTGGTCGATCTTTGACCCAGCCACCTTTTGGGGACCCACTCGCTAGGCCCGTCCCCCGCATTCACGTGTTCATTACGTTAAAATGTGTTTGTTCCATATAATGTCAAGACCTGTGGGGTGAAGACCTCATTGGCGTGGCCTCCTCTGAGAGCTGTCAAAATTCTACCTCCCACCCACCCACCAAGCCCCCACTAATGATTCATGTTTCCCCACCCAAGCTCTTTGGATACCCAGTCACCTGTCGGTGTTGAATATCATGAACTGCCCATATCTACTCTGGGCTCTTATCAGAAGCTGGTTACTTCAAATGAAGAGATATGATCTCCCCAAACAGACCACAAAGCCTCTGAGCTAAGAGATCAGACAATGTCTTGGTCTCATCACCCAGATCCGGGCCTGCAGAACTAGAGGGACAGACTGGGGTGCCTTCCATCCCAGACAGAGCCAGCAATACCTTCAAGGACACACTTGTCTCCGAGAGACGTTTTCGAAACGGTCCACTCACTTCCACACACACGCATTTGTGCACAGGTCCTTTGGTGCACGATTCTGCCATGTGCTCCTCTCTTTCTGCGCCCAGCTGACGCGTCAGTGCAGCTGGAAGCAGCCAGAAGAAAAGCCGAGAACTGCTGCTCCAGTCAGTTCAGCCATACTTCCACTTGGCCAGTCACTGACCTCCTTAACCTGCCCCCTATCTCCCCCACCCACCCCTACCCCCACCCCCACCGACAGAACTCACCAGTCTCCTTGCCTAGACCCATGTCACACCACCAACTTCTAGGTTCCAACGCTGAAAACTGCCAAAGCCCTCGCGGTCACCCAGGCCTTTCTCCTGTAATCCCCCCACCCCTCGGCGTCCTCTGGTTGCCCCACACCTGGACTATTGAGACGGCCACTGCCTTCCTTCTGTCTGCTCCACAGCGGGGTCTCAGGGTCTCACTATGTTGCCTTCCAGCTCAGTGATGCATCTACCTCAAACCTCTGCTGGGCTGAAGCTACCTGCAGACTTTCTTATTCGCATTCAAGCTCCAACTTGTACCACTGGGGTGTGGATCTCCCTCTGCACCTGCAGGGCCTGGCTTCCAACATGATTTCCATGGATAAATCTTTCCCTGGGCACACGTGTCAGAGATAAAAACCCACTGCTATTTGGGAACTGAACCCGGGTCCCTCTGGAAGAACAATCCGTGCCCTTAACCTCTGAGCCATCTCTCCAGCCCCCTCACTGCTGTTTGGAACACAGTCTGGACGGAATGGATGCTTAGAGATTAGCTAAGGAAGCGAGGGGCGGGGGAGGGAGGAAGCAGGCCTCCACCTGGGTCCTTATGCACGATTTTTTTTTTCTTTTTGGTTATGTTTTAATGCCATGGTCTCCTGTAGTCCAGGCTGGCCTCAAGCTCTCTATGTAACCAAAACTGGCCTTGAACTGATCTCCCACCTCCCATTCTAAGATGTCAGGTGTGCGCCATCATGACTGGCTCAGGGTTCTTCTTCACACACTCCCGAGTGCCCAGTGTCACGTTCCCCACCTTGGCTACTCCACCCCCAGCTGAGGCGCTCAGCTCCTGTAATGACCACCTTCAACATAAAATCCCATCTCTCCATTCCCCGAAGCCAGGCTCCCAACTCCTCTACACCCCCCCCACCCCACCCCCCCGGCTTCAGATGCCAGCTCCAAGTCTTTTTCCTATGCAGCGCTCCCTCCCTGGTCCCATCTGACCAATCTCTTGCTCCTGAATTGATTCGGCCATCAGGCAAGTGTCAAGGCCTCCATTCCAGGATCCTCATGGGTGCTGGAGATGCCAGGATGGGTGGGACTCAGCTCACGCTCTCAAGAGCTCTCCGTGAGCCAAAGATCTACGCAGGCAAGCTCAGCCCAGCAGACCAGCAAAGGCCATTAAGCAAGAAAAGACAGTTGGCCCGGGGCCCAACCCCCTCCCCCAGTTCCGCCTCCAGGACACTACTTCACAAGGCCTTGGCGGATCTTTTCCTCCAGCCTGTTCTAAAGTCATTTTGACTCCTATGGTTGAACTCTTGAGAGTAACAAGGTCGCGTTGACCTTGTCACAGCCTGCCATATGCATTGCCCCCTCATGACCCCAGCCCCTCCTCATCACCCAGACACCTCATAGGCGCTGTGCTCGTACTGAGGAGGCAGTGGACAGCCCTGTGTAGACCTCACCTGCCTTCTGGCGCCCCTTGTCTTCGGGCTCTGCTTCTGTTTATAGGGCCCCATCCCTACCTGGGCCTCCACAGCTGGACCCGGATCTCTCCTCTACCTGGCTAGGCTGTTTTCACTTTCTCAGGCCCTGGCAGCCATTGAGTAGTGACTACTAACGCTGCTAGTGAAGAGAAAAGGGACCCTGAGCACTCACTAAGTCCTTTCTACTTGTTGAGTGCTATTCCCCTTCAGGACTATCAACTTGACCCCAGGGACTCCATTCACCGCTAATCCTAGCAGCTGAAAAAGGGCCTAACATGGAGTGAGAGGTTAACACATTGAAGAGTTAACATGCATCCATCTAGTCAACCTTAACATACCGAGGATGAGGTAGTGATCATTATGGCCATTTTGGAAACAGAGAAACAAAGGCTGGGGGAGTCACATCACATGACCGAGTTCATGCAGGTCAGGGTGCTGAACTGAGCCTTAAATCCCGGCCGGTGATCCAGCCCCAGAGAGAACAGAGAGAAGTGGATGGGGCAGCTGGTTGATGGGTGCAGACCCAGAAGGTGCAGTCTTGACAAGGGTCATGAGCTGAGACTGGGAGACAGGAGGCGGGGATGAGAAGACGTGAGACCACGCAGACTGGAGGAGTCCAGGGTCCTGGAAACACTGGTTTCGACTGGAACCGAGGGAAGAGGGAAGGGACTGGACAGGAAGGAGCTCCATGGGGAGGCTCTGGAGACTGCCAGGAAAGGAAGAGTGGAGAAAGAATAGGCATGGTGAAGGAGGCGGGGCTCAGAGACACCGTCCAGGTAGGACAGACAGCCAGGGAGCCCCAGCTCTGAGGATCTCCACAGAACAATAATAAGCACGTAGACAGAAATCAAGGAAACTCGAAAAACGAGGCCCAAGTCAGAGAAAAGGACATTTTTCCAGTGACGAAAACAAACTGCCACCAACTTCCCCAATCTGAACTGTGGAATTAGAAACCATGAGATTGTCTTTTAGGTCTGTGGGGAGGAGGCTGGAGGACACACTGCCTAGATAAAGGAGGTGTTAGCTACCTAGGGAGGACTAGGTCAATGGAGACCTCTTGTCTGGAAGCAGACCTGGGCGCAGAAAGGCAAAGGCTGTCTCAGGGAAGAAGTCTGGGCCGGCTGCCCAGCTTTATCCAGTTTCCTGGTTCACTCCCAAGCACGCGATCCCAAACTTGACCCCACCAACGGATCCCCCTCCCTCGACCCGGTCTTCCAACACCCTGACCCACGCTGTTCACTGCCGGAGAAACGGGGCTGCTCCGCCTAATTCCACTGGCCTCGCAGCTGCCCTCCCCCCCTACAGCCCAACACACCCCAGGACCAGCGAGCCACCCCGGCTGTCAGGGCCCGGCCTTGCGGGCTTGGCTGGTGGTAACTCTCTCCCTCTCCGATTTCTCTCGGATTTCCTTCGGCCTCTCCCGGGCAGCCCCGGGTGGGTGAGGCAGAGCAAACCTAAGCAAACTGAAGCGGAGAAGTCCTCCACCCCGCCAACCCCTACCCCCCGGTACATGCCCACTCCTGCCAGGCCTCGCCTCGCCAGCAACCCACCCTTCCCTCCGGTTCCCCCGTCTCACCAGTGACAGCAGCGGGCCAGGCACGGTGGGGAGACCCATGTCCGGCCGGCAGTGGCCTCTCACTCCCCCATTGGGGCTGGGGACAGTGTAGCAGTTGGCAACGCTGGTGAATGAAGTGAGCCGATCGGACCAGGTGGCCCGGGCAATGGCAACCGGGGCCTCGGGTTAGAGAAGCTGAACGTCGAGGGTAGATGCAGGTCAGGGTACGGTCCTCCGGGACGTCGAAGCCAAGCGGCCCGATCAGGAGCCAGAGTTCGGAAAACTCGGAGAAAATTAAAGCTGAGCGGAGAGAGGAGGTGGGAGGGGAGGGGAGAGTGGCGGGGGTGGTGTTGCAAGAGCGGGACCGGAAGAGCCTGGGGAGAGGCGAGGGAGGAGGGAACCAGGAGGAGAGAGGAGAGGGCCAAGGTTCTTTTAACGCTTTGTAGCCTGGGTCCCACAGCCTGGCGCCCCAAACCCACTTAAAATCAACTGGGAACACCTAGAGGTTGAGAGTTAAATTCACCGAATTCCAGTTCAGACTCTGCTTTTTAGGTGGCTGAGCTCAGACCCGTGGACTAAGCCCTCCAAGCCTGTTCTCAAATTCGCAGAATGAAGGCAGCTGTCTCCTGGGATGGTAGACAGGGGTTACTGAGGGAGGGCACTACCTGGTGCATGGTGAGCACTCTGTGTCCCTCAGCGGCGCTCCCTTCACCCCAGGGTTCCCTCTCATCTCACTGTCGGGGACCTTTACCCATCCAGCCCAAACCGGGGAAGAAAACCAAATCTAGTTTTCTACCCTGTGGTCCCTTCCAGATGGGTTCCCCAGCTGCCTACTATGGCTCTGCCACCAACAGTGTGTGTGTGTGTGTGTGTGTGTGTGTGTGTGTGTGACAGCCCCCCCCCCCAAGCCTTGGTGAGCTCCTCCGTTATTCAGTGAGTGAAAAATGCTTGCCCTCACGTAGGGAAGAGGTGGCATGAAGATTCAGTAGACGTGTCTGTAAAGATGCTTGTCTTAGTTGAAATAGGGTTTCATTTAGCCCAGGCTGGCCTCAAACTCATTAGCTGAGGCTGGCCTTGTATTTCTGATCCTCCCGCCTCCTACATGCTGGGATTACAGCACATAATCCCCACCACACCCAGCTCTAGATATTCGGATGCATCCATTGGGACTGACCCAGAGCTGGCTACCACATTCTGCAGCTAAGGAAAAAGCCACAGGACACTGCATGCTGGGAGGCAGAGCACAAAGAACTCGGATTCCTGGTTACTGGTATAAGGCCACACTGTCCCTCCTCCTTTGAGTGAGACCTCACCTTTTGACTGGCACCCCTTACTAGGGGTGGACACCTTCTGCTATCCCATTTATGGAGGTCTTCTCCCAGGTGGACCTGTCAGCACTGGGATTCTATTCACTCAAGTGCCTTGAGATTTAGTGACCTTCTTTACGTATGCCAGTTCAGTCTGAGGTCCTCCCGCAGCTGAGACTGTGGAACGTGCAAGGAGAATGCAGGAACGGGGGCCTAGGGCTTGGGGGCTTGAAACCAGAGCTCCTGGCCCTTCTCCCTGTGAGCCACGCCTGGCCTTCAGCCTCCAGCATGCCCACCCTGATGTCTCCCCTCTCTCTGCTGTAATCCCCAGGACAAAGCCCCTGAGGAGCAGCTGGAGGTGTCCCCACTGCTAGAGGCCCGCTTCCCTCTGTTCTGGTGGAAGCTCTTGGCACCCTGGCATCCATATTCCCAAAGAGTCTGGAATGTTCTAGTGGAAGCCCTACCTCTCTGCCCAGACCCAGCTCCTCCCCCCAGAGATGCTCAAGACCACTCGTATAGAGTATTTAAACTGCACCCCAGAAAACAGACACATTTTTTTTGGTTTCTCCCATCTCCTCTCTAGGGGCCCAGAGAATCACCCAGGAGTGTTTTACCCATTAAACCAGGGCTTTGTCTAATTCGGTCTGATTTGGCCTGATTTGGATTACTGCGTCGGCGGAGAGGCTTATCGGGGTGCAGAAATTTCACCCTCCATCAGACTAGCCAGTTTTCAATGTGAACGAGCTAGGATAAATTAATGGGAGGGGGCGCCTCAAGGTATAATTCAGTGGTGGAGTGCTTGCCTGGCACAAGCGAGGCCCTAAAGTACCACCAGCATACATGTTCATGTACACACACACACACACACACACACACACACACACTAAAACAGGCAAGAAACACACTGACACATCTCCAGGGCTGGTTTGGTGGTTAGATTCATATGGAATATTAGCAAGTGTTGCCACATGTTAAGTATCATACAATATCAATAATTTGTATTAATAATGCATAACAACTCCAAGGTCCCATGTTTAACATTACAAGGGATTTTTAATTGTCTGTGCAAACTGCCAAAGCCATTATTACTCAGAGCCTGGCACAAGCGGGGAATTTCCTTCATGGCTTAGGATACATGCTGCTTTTTCTCAGTACATTTGGAGTTTTGAGACAGTGCAGTGCTAAAATGCTCCCTCCAGGTCAGTTCCAGAGAAAAGGCTAAGAACCCGTGAACTTGAGGGTGAGAAAAGCCAGCTAGGTTTACGGAGGAGATAAGAATAAGAAAAAGACCACAAAGTCAGTGGCGTCAAACACCTATAATCCCAACACTCGGGAGGCAGAGGCAGAGACAGAGTCAGGCAGACCTCTGTGAGTTCGAGGCCAACCTGGTCTACAGAGCAAGTTCCAGGACAGCCAGAGCTGTTACATAGAGAAACCCTGTCTTGAAAAAAACAAACAAATAAGACTATGAGCACAGGAATGGAAAAAGTGATGGCTGGGGCTGGAGAGGCTACAGTTAAAAGCACTTGCTGCTCTCACAGAGGATCAGAGTTGGGTTCCCAGCACCTACACAGCAGCTTATAACTGTCAGTGACTCTAATTCCAAGGGATCAGATACCCTCTTCTGGCCTCAGGCATGCATGGGGTGCACAGACATACAAACAGGCAAAAAACAGCTACACGGGGCTGGAGAGATGGCTCAGAGGTTAAGAGTACCGACTGCTCTTCCAGAGGTCCTGGGTTCAATTCCCAGCAACCACATGGTGGCTCACAACCATCTGTAATGAGATCTGGTACCCTCTTCTGTATACATAATAAATAAATAAATCTTTAAAAAAAAAAAAACAGCTACACATAAGATAAAAATAGTAAATCTCCTCCCACCCCCATTTGGTTTTTCAAGACAGGGTTTCTCTGTGTAGCTTTGGAGTCTGTCCTGGGACTCACTCTGTAGACCAGGCTGGCCTCGAACTCACAGAGATCCTCCTGCTTCTGCCTCCCAAGTGCTGGGATTCAAAGGTGTGCACCACCACTGCCAGGCCAAAACCAGTAAATCTTTTTTTTTTTTTTTTTTTTTTTGGTTTTTCGAAACAGGGTTTCTCTGTGTAGCTTTGCGCCTTTCCTGGAGCTCACTTGGTAGCCCAGGCTGGCCTCGAACTCACAGAGATCCGCCTGCCTCCCGAGTGCTGGGATTAAAGGCGTGCGCCACCAACGCCCGGCTCCAGTAAATCTTAAAATTAAAAAAAAAAAAAAAATACAGAAAAGGAGCTGGAGAGATGGCTCAGTGTTTAAGAGAAATTGTTGTTCTGTAGAAGACCAGGGTTCAGTTCCCAGAACCCACAAAGTGGCTTATAACTACCCATAACTCCAGTTCCAGGGGATCTGGAGTCTTCTTCTGACCTCTGGGCACCAGGCATGCATGTGGTATTCATTCATACATTCAGGCAAAACACTCATACACATGAACTAAAAAAAGAAAGAAAGAAAAATACCCTACTTAAAAAAAAAAGAAAGGAAGGAAGGAAGGAAGGAAAATGTGATAGTGGGCAGAACAGGGGACCAGAGCTGGTAGGTAGGGAGGCAGACCAAAGGATGGAAGAGCCTCAGCTAACACCCCCACCCCACCCCCGAGGATACATGGCCTGCCTCACACATGCACGTGTACACTGATTCCAAAGGGCACTGGGCTCCAAGTCCCTGTGACGCGGGCCCTGGCCACAGTCCGTACCCCACCTTACAGACGGGCCAGATGAATCAGTGAGGAGGCCGGTTCCAGGCGGCTCTGTGAGAGCTCTAAGCACGCCACCTCTAAGGCTGATAAGGCAAATGAGAGAAGTGGGTCCTTTTCCCTCAAACACTCCGATCCCACCTCCACGGACTGGTCTTCAGACAAGAAGAGGGTGAGGACAGACCTCGGGGTAGCAACACAGGTGGATAAAAGGGACCTGGAGCTGGGGGGTGAGGGGGACTGCAGCCTCCATCACAGACCCAGACAGGGAAGGGCAGGGACCAAACAGAAGGCCAGAGCAGCCACACCTGAGGCTCTGACAGGACAGTGTTGAAACAGCACCATTTCCTGACATTGACATGAATCTAGGAAAGGGAAGTCAAGGTCTTCACATCGCACGCATGACCCAAGTCCCTGTTCCTTCCCTCTTTCTACAAGATCCCCATTCTCCCTCACACCTCTGATCCCAGCACTCTGTGAGTTCAAGGCCAGCCTGGTCTACAGACTGGGTTCCCTGAAGGAGGAAAAAAAAAAAAAAAAGACCCCTTCTCCTCTGGCTGCTAAGAACAGACATTGTGATGAATGAGAAAACAGGAACAATCCCAAGTCTTATTCCCACAACACAACAAGACAGGGTCGCTTCTGGGTCCCAGGTCTGATGGCGGGAGCAGGCAGGGGGACTGCAGATGAGAAAACTGGGGTTCCACTCAGACATTCCCCAGTTTCTCCTTTTCTGAAGTCAGGAGGGTCCCCTCTGCCCCCCTCAACCCTGGATAAGACTACCCAAGGCTCTGAAATTCTGGAAGAACTGGTCCCAGTCTCCTCCTCCTCCACCACCAGGGCAGTGATGGGGAGGAGGGTGGCAGAGGTTTCCTCACAGCTGGGTGGAGTCTGAAGAAGAGCATACTTGATGATGTGTAACAGAGACCAGCTTGGCCTGGCGGCCTGTGCCCGCCCCTCCACTCTAGGGCCTCCCAAGAAACAAACGTAGGCAGTGCCTCTGGGACTGGCAGCCACTCCCTACCCATGGGGCCCCATTCAGCTCCGCAGACAACGTTTTACGTAACACGCATTTATTGGGCACCTGCCTACCTGCTTCAAGTGGGATAGTGGGCTAGACCTGAAGGATATAAAAATGAGCAAAACTCAGCCCTGCTCACAAAGATTTCACAGTCTACTCAGAGGCAGATACCAAAGAATGTGAACATATAACATAGTGCACTGTGGGGACGAGGGGACGGGGTGGGGGGGTAATTCTGGGGGAGACAGGATAGGGCAAAAGAGTTCACGAAAGTAATGGTGCCATTCAACAGGGGTCGTGGGGGCGCACAGAGGCCCTCTAGGAGATGGTAGGGGAAGCTTCTAGGCTGAGAAAATAGCTAAGGCAAGTATGAAGGCCACAGCGCGGCCAAGGCACGGAGCTACAGTGTATCAAACAGAGAAGAGCCTTGGAAATGAAGGAGAAAGGCCAAACCTTGACGATACTCATCTGACTCGAGCCCCCACCCTGGAGTGTCAGGGAAGGGGAATTGCCAAAGAACTAACAAAGGGGGCTTTTGGGTGGGGTTCCCCACCCAAGTTCAAGAAGGGGCGCAGACATCTGTGTCTTTGAAGGCAGTGTGGCCAGGCCAATCTCTGGTCATGGGGTAGGAAACCTGTGGCTGCTTTTCTGCGCCCTGTTTATATTTGTTCGTTGGTCGTTTCCCAGGAAAGTTCTTTGTCAAAGCTCCAAGTCTGGCTTGGCTGATCCAAGGGAAAAGGAGACTTGTCTGAGCTTGTGTGGAAAGCCGTGTTCAGAAGCAGGAACGCTCACCAGCCACTGGTTCTCTGGACCATTTCCTGGGCCCCTTATTTAGTCTACTCCCTCAGGCACACCAGAGACAGCCCAGCCGGGCAGCTGTGGGAGGTGCTGCCGAAGATGGCCTTCAGCTTTAGTGTGCCCCGGAGCACTGGCCTGGGTGAGAGGAGCACTCTCCTCTCTCAGTGCTCCCCCAGGGCACAGGCAGAAGGGCCAGGCACTGCGGAGTCCAGTGGATGGGCGCAGGGGCCTAGGGTGGCATAGGCAGGCGGAGGGGCCGGGGCCAGGGACGGGGTTGTGCCCTGCTGGGGTAAGGAAGGCAGTGGGGACGTAGGGTGGGGACAGAAGCGGGAGGGGAAGGAGGAAGCTGGAGTGGAGGCCACTTCCCGTGCGCCCCTGGCCCCTCGTCCTGGTGACCAGTAGCGGCTTCGGAATCTGTGCAGCAGCATGAGGACTGTGATGACCAGCAGGTCAAAGATGAGCTCCGCCATCTCCACCACAGACAGCACCGACGAGCCGAACCACAGGCTCCACTGGCTGCCCAGGTTGGACAGGAGGCTGACCATCTGTGGAGAGAAGGAAGCACCCACCCGCTCACCAGGCCAGCTCCCTTTGCACCTGGGGCCCACCACGCAGGGGCAGCTCCTGCCCGTCATCCCCCACAGAAAAATGGTCAGGAGACCAACAAAAACTGGGGTGCGCCTCAAGGGCCTCTCCCAGTTGTCTGTCATGCGCGCGCGCGTGTGCGTACACACACACACACACACACACACACACACACACACACACACGCGCGCGCGCGCGCGCGCGCGCGCACACACACACACACACACACACACGCACGCACGCACGCACACACACACACACACGCCTCCCACCACCTGCCCTGACACCATAGATCCCTCCTCAATGCTCTCACCTTACCCTGGACTCCACTTTTCCTTATCTTCTACCTCTGGGGCACAAACCCTTCTGGCCCCCAAATGTGAGCCCTCATCCCCCCCTCACAGCCACCCTGCCAAGGCCCCAGGAGACCGCAGGCTCCCTGGCTAGGACAGGCCCTACCGTGACAGAGGGCGACTCGGAATTCG